TAAGTAATCAAAGTTAATGGTCTTATCTCTTATTGCATCTGGATTCCTAGTCTTAGGTTGAAGGCCTTTTTCTACATTCAAGTTAAAGAGGAATTTACTCATGTTGTTTTCTTGTATAGTTTGATTTTTTAACATTTCTTTAATTTGAGGTTTATTCTGGTTTGTGGTGCAAGGAATGGATATAATTTTATTTTATTTTCCAAATGGCTATCCAGTTGCCCCAATATAATTTATTAACAAAACTCATTTGTCTCAGTGATTTGAGATACCAGCTTTACCATGCACAAAGATAACTCTGTGTACATGGTGTTTTTAACATAGATTGATAGACCTTTAGGAAGTCATCAAGTAGGAAGGGTCAAATAAGAGTTGATCAGAGATCAAGTAAAATTCCATGAGGATAGCTCTCAGCAGGCTGAGTTATAGGTGAAAACTTGTTTCAGGTTTGCTAGGATGCTCTTAAAAAGAAAAGGCATATACACATTTTTATGTTTAACAGCCGTATTGAGGTACAATTTACATACCAAAAACCCTACCCATTTCAAGTGTACAGTTCAATCACTTTTAGTAAATTTGCAGAGTTGTGCAATCAGTATCACAATCCAGTTTTAGAATATTTCTGTCACTCCAAAAAAATCTCTGATGCCTGTTTGTGGTCCCAGCCTTTACCCCAGGGAACCATTCATCTTTCAGTCTCTATAGATCTGCTCTTTTCTGGATATTTCACATAAATACGTAGTTTTTGCATCTGGCTTCTTTTTCTTAGCTATTGTAGCTATTGTTTTTTGTAGTTTATTCATATTGTTACTGTATATATTGCCCAATATTTCATTGTATGACTATACTAAATTTTTCATCCTTTCACCAGTTGATGAACATTCGGATTGTTTCCACTTTTTGGCTCTTATAAATAGTATTTCTGTGAAATTCACTTACAAGTCTTTATGTGGACCTACAACATTTTTATTTCTCTTGAGCAGAGTCCTAGGAGTGAAAGGTCTGGGTTTTATTGAAAATTTATGTTTAATTTTTTGAGGAACTGCCAAACTGTTTTCCAAAGTGGCTGCACTATTTGACATTCCTCCTAGCAATGTACGAGCAGTTCAGTTTCTCCTTATCCTCACCAACACTTGTTACTGTCTGTCTTTAATTATAGTCATTCTGATGAGTGTGAAGTGATATCTCATTTTGGTTTTGGTTTGTATTTCCTAAAAGACTAATGATGTTCAGCATCTTTTCATATGTTTATTAGCCATTAGTATATCTTCTTTGGTGAAATGTTTATTCAAATACTTTGCTCATTTTTTAAATTGGATTGTATATCATTTTATAACAGAATTTTAAAAATTTTAAAAATTTAAAAAATATTTATATTTATCAGATATATGATTTGCAAATATTTTTCTCCAAATAATTTTTCTCTGTGGCTTGCCTTCTCATTTTCCTAATATGTCTTTTGAAGCACAAGTTTTTAACTTTGATCCACTTCAATTAATCCTTTTTTTTTTTTAATGGTTCATGCTTTTGATGCTCGTGTCTCAGAGAAGGCAAGTATTAAAACTACTTTTCTTTTCATGGAATTATGAGATTTGCCTCATTTTTAGGACTAGCTTGGTGATCAGGCCCATTTGTTTTATTGAAATGTGTAAGGCCTTGCCTCTGGGTAATGGCCATGTTGTTCTAGCATCCTCTGGGCAGTTGTTACTAGAGAGGCAATGTAATATTGATCAAAAGTGTAGGTCTCACTACCTGGATTTGAATTTTGGCTTCATACCTTCCTAGGAGTGTTACTCTGGGAAAGTGGCTTTTATTTCTCTGTGCCTCAATTTCCTCATCTGTAAAATGTAGATAATGCTACTTCGCTCATAGGGTGTTTGTCTATTTAAAGTACATAGGAAATGCCTGGGGCAGAGTAAGGGCTCAAAAAATATTAGCTTACTTATTGCAGTTCTCAACTAGAGTTTTTTGGGAGGGTGTGCAAATTGGAATCATTTGGGGGTGCTTTTTAATACCTTGTATGCCTTTCTAAAGTGACAGATTCTGCCCTGGTTTACAGCAGCTGGGGTAATAAGCATTGTACTTAGTCTTCCTTGACACATTTAAAGTTGATTGTTCCTTAAAATCACTTTCATTACATGAGGCAATTTGGGTTGATGTGTAGAATCACAAAACTCATCAGGTGTAAAAATAGCGCAAGCTCCATTAATGCTTAGAAAATGAATAATAACTCCTGTTGCCAAGGCAAAAACTAGGCAGTCTTAAGCAAACTAGTATAGGGTAAAAGCT